GATTTTAACTTATCAAAGATTAACATATTCGGTAGTAAAACTGTCAAAAATCGGAAATATTTTATCATTCCCCTTCCTTTTAATCCCGAAACAGTAGTACAACACCTATTCTATATCGTTTATGTCGCCGATAAAGAAATAAAACTTAGAATCTGTTAAGATGTTATTAAAACTCCGGAACAGTATGAAATACCCCAAATACTAGGTCACTATCACCGTGGCAAAAGCAATCTCCATCGGGGTATAAATGAAACTATACGAAGAATAAAAGAAAAGTATAATTGGCAAGGCATCACAAAGGATGTAGAAAATTTTATAAAAAATTGCGAAATCTGTCAAAAAGTAAAGATCTGTAGAAAAAACTTAAGTAACCCGTTAGTCATCACCGAAACCCCTAAAACACCGTTCGAAAGAATTAACATAGATCTTGTCGAATACCCTACCAGAAATTACGCATTAACTATACGAGACGAGCTCACTAAATTCACACAGACGTATCCTCTTGAAGACAAAACAGCTAAATCAGTCGTCAATCATCTTATTATCTTTTTCCAACACTATGGCACACCATTACGCATACACTGTGACTATGGACGTGAATTCGACAATGCTTTGATGAAAGATCTTTGTGAATTGTACGACATAAAACTAACCTTCTCAAGTGTGGGCCATCCACAATCTAATGGTTCTATCGAAAGATTTCACGCAACCCTAAGCGAAATGATAAGAGCTAATCAAGCTGAAAATCCCGATGAACATCCGTTCAATGTTCTGCCTTACGCAGTTATTTGCTACAATAACACAAAAAACAAAACCCACGGATTTACACCATACGAACTCATTTTCGGACATACTTCTTTTAGACCACCCGAAATACTTTGCAATGAAAAAATCCTTATATCAAAATACGTTAGAGACTTAAGTAATCGTATGCAATATTTCTATAAAGTGGCACGAGCCAAGACGGAAAGACAAAAAGAAAAGGCTAAAGAAAGATTCGATCAACACGTGTCATCAAACCCTCCAGAATATAAAATAGGCGATAAGGTTTACGTCAAGGAATCGCAAATTAAAGATAAATCCCAAAATAAATTTAATGGCCCTTTTGAAATCCAAGAAATTCACGTAAATTCTGATACTTTATTAAATACCCAAACCAATAGAACAATGAAAGTAAATTTTGATAGATTAAAACCCTATCATGAGTAATTTTCTTTCAGATTCCTCGGACTGATCCCAGTCATCCTCTCGTAGTATACGTTAACTCCAATCAACAACACTGTTGGAATCTTTTTTCATGAAGAAACCAATCTCAAAATTTTGAACGACAAATGGACCCTCCTTGTATATAAAGACATGCAACCAATCAGAGACGTTATCGACAAAAATGACAAAATCTTAGAAAATTTATTGGATACCATTGAAGAAGATGTACCTCGAATGCTGGCATTTAAATCCGAAGTCCAAACTCACATAAGTCTTCTCAAACAAATCTCTAGTTCTGTTAATCTCAAATATACAGAAATAATGGCTGATACGAAACAATACACATTCCGAGAGAAACGCGGACTTATTAACGGAATAGGTTCAATATGGAAATCAATTACAGGCAACTTAGATTCGTCAGATGGCGAATATTTCAATGATTGTATAAATAAAATAACCCGCGATGAATATCAAATCGAAAACTTATTAAAAAATCAAATATCGGTTACAACTTCTGTTATTAAAAACTTTAACGCCACAATCCAGAAATTACAAATAGACGAGGAAACATTCAACAATAATATTAAAGAAATTCGAGAGTCAATAATGGACATCTCTGATCAATTAAAATTCTATCAATCTCAAATCGATATGCTAAACTTTTGTGAATAACTAATGGAAAGCTATTCATTTATCGAAGACTCTTTAAATGAAATAGTAAATGCCATAACCTTTGCTCGATTAAAAATATTACATAACTCAATCATAACCTCGTTTGATTTAATTGAATCGCTAAGGCATATATCACAATCATTACAAAAAAATAATCTTCCATTATCAATCTATAATAACATAATAATCTTTCAATCTCTCCCAGACAACCTTCTCAACTCACTCATTCCCACCATTCTTTTTTAACCAATCATAAGCATTCATCTTTCCCCCTTATTTTTGATTTAGAAAATTTCCATCATGATATTTAAAACAAATAAACTACTTTCACTCAAATTACTTTTTAGAAACCATTAACAATTTTACCTTTTTCAACAGAAATAAGTTTCCAAATTCTTATTATCTCTTATCTAAATCTAATTCTTATTTACTTTTGAAAAATGCACACCGCAAAATACAATTACAAGTTTATTCCTAAATTTATAATTATACGGGTCCATTGTCCTTTTCACCATTCACTCAGTCTTTCACGGAAAAACTCGTTAGGGTCCCGTCACGGAACAATGTTTTCTCTTATTCTAACTATTACAAATAAGTACAGGGTTGTATTTTAACTTATATGCCCGCGGTATATTAAAATAATAAAAAAATTCTTTATTCTATTTCCGATCGATAAACTGATCCATAACAATATATATATATATATATATATATATATATTTATATATATATATATATATATATATATATTATATATATATATATATACATATATACGTATATGTATATGTATATATATATATATATATATTATATATATATATATATATATATATATATATATATAAGGATCACTCAGACGAGTGGTGGGTTCCTATATCGGTCTCAAGGTGGAGAAATAAAAGACAAAGTTGATAGGCTACTTTATCTATTTTAAAGACGTTTCGCTTTCGAGTTTTGAAAGCATCATCAGTTTATCTAAAAAGTACAATATGAGAACCACACAATCATGGAAACGATGTTAATTGTTACCTTAAAAAGACATGTAGCAGTCAAAGTTATTTACAATTATGTGAATAAAACTCAAGTAAGTGGACATTATACGGTGATATTGTATAAACAATCAAGTAACTAACTTAATAAATAACTACTATAATATTTTAAATGTAAACAAATTTCGAAATTTGGGAATAATATATAAACTCATTTGTTTCTATCAACCAATTCTTGATTTAAAAAGATAGAAAGTTTCTTTGTTTATAGAAATGTATGTAATTATGAAATGGTATTTTAGTTTCCTTTGGAAATAACAACTTTTAATGTTTCTTTTTATTACTGAGAAATAAAGTGTAATTTCGCTGTAATTTTTTTTATTAATCTTATTTTTTTTTATCTTCTCTCGTCCCCTACGAGGATAAACAAGGGGTGGCGTCCAATGATAAATTATAATTTCAGTTATCTAATTGTGTTTGAAATTTTGACATACTACGTAGTTTTTTTGTACAGTTGACCTTATCACACCTTCTCTCCAACATGAGCTAACCTGACCTTGAATTAAATGTATGTACTCGATGTTATCTAAAATCGGCGTTAAAAATATATGGCCTTTTTTCTATTTCTATGGCTTCTCGGATAATTCTTGGTTTATAGAAGTGGATGGGGGCTATGGTTCTGGAGTTTTCAAAATCAATTTTGTGACCTGTATGAAGATGGTGTTGACCGAGAGCTGAAATTGAATCAGAATTGCGAACAGAAGTGGAATGTTCATAAATCCTATTTTGGATTCTACGATTTGTTTGGCCTATATAGGATCGGGACAGTCTGCACAAGGTATTTCATATATTTCATAAACTCCGTGTTGTTCATTTGGAATATTGTCTTTGATAGATCGGACAAGAAATGAAAGTTTTTGTTGGGGAGAAAATATTGTTTTTATTCCTCTTGGTTTCAGAATTCTGTCGATTTTGTCAGTGACATCTTTGATATAAAGAAGAAAAGCTTTCGTATGATAAGGGTCTGAGTCTTTGGGTTGAGAATGAGAGGAAGATTGATGTGAAAAGGGCTTGTTTTAAACAAGAGAGCTCAGCGGGTCTACTTGCATCATCGGAAAGGCGTATTGATCTGGAGACAAGGGTATTAATGACTGAATTAATTTGTGAAGGTGGATGGTGAGAGTTGGCATGCAAGTAACAATTGGTATGTGTGGGTTTTCGTTAGACACAATAATGGAAACCTTGAGATTGGTTTTTCTTGATCGAAAACATCGAGAAAAGGTAGGGATGAATCAGTTTCCATCTCCATCGTAAATTGGATACTAGGATGTATACCATTCAAATGAGTTTGAAAAGATACTAAAGCATCCCTGCCATGGGGCCAAATGACGAATGTATCGTCAACATATCGTAGCCAACATGTGGGCTTGAGCATTGGTGTGAATAGTGCTCGGGTCTCGAAGTCTTCCATAAAGATATTGGCAATTACTGGAGATAGAGGGGAACCTATTGGGGCACCATTTATTTGTCTGTAGAATTTGTTTTGAAAGATGAAATAGGTGTTGGACATACAATGTTTAATGAGATATAAGTGATCTTGTTGAATACTGTATTTTGTTTCCAAAATGTTTAAAGTTTTATCTATTGGAATGTTTATAAAGAGTGAGATAATATGGAAACTTACTAGAATGTGTGACGGTGATATAGGGTATTATTTAAGAAGTTCGATGAAATGAAATGAGTTTTTGACGAAGAATGACGTTTCCTGTTCCCAGCAGTAGTAGTGACAGCGCAGTCATCAGTGAACAGTGTAGTACTGTCTAGAGGCTCGGGAGACTGAGACCTCGGAAGCCCTGAGGAAGGCATCAGAGAGGATGCCGAAAGCTCGGCAAAATGGATATCAACGCGGTTCAACCCGGAGGACTGGTAAGTTTAATATTAATTTTAGTAATAATATTAATCTTAGCTCTAAGTTTCATTGTACTAACCACGGAAATCTTTCCGAACATATATATATATATATATATATATATATATATATATATATATATATATATATATATATATATATAATGATAATCATTATTGATGCGATTGCTTGTAAATAAAAAAAGAGAAATAAAACACGTTACTAAAATATATTTATTTATTATTTAACATATTTTTTTATATATTTTTTGTAACAATAAATAAATCACAATTTATAAGAATTTATAATATAACAATCGAATTAGGGAAAAAAATTGCGGAATGTATTAATTACGATATCCCACACCCCTGAAACAAAAATAAAATATTAGAATGCAGTTAATGCTAATACACAAAATCTTACCCTTCATTAACCTTAGACCTAGCAATCCCAAGCAGAAAGTAAATAAGCATAATCCCATGCATTAAGAAGGTGTTTATAATATATGATTTTAGATTCTTTATTAACATGCTATTTATAATATTGAATATTTTTTTATAGGTTTGGACAAATACATTAACTACAAAAAGTTGAAATATGAACTTGGAAATCCAATAAAGTTGGATTCCATTATACTATAAAATAAGACTAAAATTGTGCCGTCTATACTAAATATAATATATACATATATACATATATATATATATATATATATATATATATATATATATATATATATATATATATATATATATATATATATATATATATATATATATATATAGCAAAACTGGTAAGATTATCGACCGAAACGAAATTGACGCATGTTCAGTCAAGTAGATGCTGTGAAACCGTTTTATGATTCTGAACCGATTCCTTGTTGCTTTCGACAGTAGGTACTTCACAAAAATGTATTAATCATATGGTTAAGATTAAGTTTTATAAGATATCTGAAATATTCTATTTTTTTATATTAAAATGCTAGCCTGTAGTTGAATTTAGGTAGACTTACAACACTAAAGCCAAAATGCGGTTAGAAGTTACCATAGGTAGCTGAAGGGTATATTGATAAATTTTTAGCACAAAGAAGCAAAATAGCTAATAAAGTATTTGAAACTTGTGCCAATGCTAATATAACACCCACTTTGCGACCACATACTTTAACGGTAGTTATGTCCATGACCGAAAATATAATTTCAACACAAGAAAATTCGACTAATGTACCAAATCATTGAATGCACATGTCATTCATGTATTATGTATTTAATAGTAGTAATTTTTGTAGAACAAAATATTCTAAGATTAAATGTTAAACTTTTATTATATCTATTTTATATCCGGGAAACAAATACCCATTTTTCATACAAAGTGATAATTGTTTATCCGTCAACACACATAAAAAATCAAACATTTGTCCCATTACAAAAAGAATATTTTTATTCTGACGCTATTTTATTGTGGCATTTTAATATAATTTACTATTTTTACTTAGCATTAACCACAATTTTAGTATAAAATATGTTTTTATTCATAGGTCAATCCAATACACCAGCGCATTCTATTTGTTTAGATTTTATACTACTACATGTTTTCTGTTATTTTATGGCCAGAGTTTGAACCATCGATCCAACAGATCATTTACAGTAAGGCGATTGCATTTGATCCACCTGACCCGCATGGGTAACTGTCAGACATTGACAGAAAAAATTGTTTTTTTGCAATAAAAAATATGTTTTTTACATTTAATTACATCTTAAATATATCGAGAAAAGTTTGTCTTATTGCTAATAGTTAAATAAAAATTGTGCTCATGAAAATAATGGAAAAATATGAATTGAAAACAAAAATCCAAAGATAATATCTTTGCCCGTATAAAAAAGGAGATGGGAAAATATTAAACACTAACAACTCAACATGATTCTTTAAGTTAGGTTACGTAATTAGTTAGGATTCGAATCAACCGGGAATCTATCAATAACATTAGATACGCGGACGACACGGTAGTATTCGCTGACAATTCTGAAACCCTCCAGGAGTTAATGAACAGAATCACAGAGGTCAGTCAGAGATACGGACTTTCACTAAACACTAAGAAAACAAAATGCATGATGATCTCTCAAGAAGGAACAGCAATTTGGACAAATCAGTGTAAACGGTCAACAAATAGAAAAAGTAAAAACATACACCTACTTTGGTACGAACGTTAATGAAAATTGGGACCATTCCATAGAAATCAAATGTAGAATAGAGAAAGCAAGATCTGCATGTCAAAAAATGGCTAAGTTATTCAAATGTCATGATTTATCAATGCCCATAAAAATTAGGTTACTACGATGTTACATCTTTCCTATACTGTTGTACGGAGTTGAGTCATGGACTCTCACAGACGCCACCTGCAATAAAATTGAGGTTTTTGAAATGTGGCTTTATCGTCGCATCCTGAAGATATCGTATACCGACCACGTTACTAATGAGGGTGTTCTGTTGAGAATGAAAAAAGAAAAAGAGCTGTTAACCACAATAAAAACAGCCAAAATCGAATACCTCGGTCACATCATGTGGAACAGCGAAATATATGGACTGCTGCAACTAATCTTGCAGGGAAAAGTAGAAGGAAAACGGGGACCAGGAAGGCGAAGGATTTCCTGGCTGAAAAATCTACGAACGTGGTTCAACACAACAACCACAAATCTTTTTAGAGCAGCAGTGTGCAAAGTGCAGATTGCCATGATGGTCGCCAACATCCGAAACGGATAGGCACTACAAGAAGAAGAAGAGGTTACGTCCACACAAGTAGGAGAGGTTTACTTGGTGGGCTGGATAACAGGAAAGCAACGGTGTGCAGGATCTCCTTCTAGGGGGAAATGGGCTCTGATGGACTCCCTTACCCTGAATCCAGAACACGTCAATCATTCTTACGGATGGGTTAACCTAGTACGGGTTTCAGAAAATTTCCACACTTAGAAAAAAAAATTTGTTAGGGTACCAAAAAATACTTATCTAAGTTCTAATAATAAGAGATTCTTTACAACAAAAATCCATGGATCTTTGCACTTTTCAATTCAGGGATAGTACAACTATTTTATTTTAAAATATCTGTGACGTCCTCTCGTAGGAGTCACTATCCGGGTAGCTTTTGGACAGTCAGAGACAGAGTTCAAAATAAAAATAAAACTTTATTGTCTTCCTTAAATTAAATTGACAAAAATCTTATGTACATATTTACAATTTAGTTTAGTCTTCTCAGTACCTGGCCTATTTATTCAAATTAAGTTTGACCTTGTCGTATGAAATTAGTGTTATCGGCAATCAAGTGTGTTTTCGGAATTTTACGTGAACGATGTGTCGATTTAATAACAGCGGACGATAGGTACAAAGGAAAGAAAGAAACTCAACACGTCCCTCAAGTGATTCGGGTTAATAGGACACTCCTCGACAGTCTCAACACGACTGCTTCGGAGTACGGGTAGTGGAGAGCTCAACACGCTCTCCGGATAACGGCGGTATGGAACGGAAACAACTTGTGAACTCAACACGTCCACAAGCCGGGGTAGGGGAGAAGAGAACCTTCAGTCAACACCTGACGATTCTGCCTCTATGAGGAAATAATGCGGTTTATATAGCAAAGTTTTGCCCTTTCTACTGTCGATACACTCCTACTTCATGGTTGGTTCGCGCGCACGCTGGTTTAACGGTGATGGCTTGGACTCATCGTTACATATCTATTCTAAAACGTGCATAGCATAAAAAGTGTAGCATAAGAAACAAGTATAGGAAATGTTGTTTCATTAGAAGGATATATGTGTTTACAAAGAATTATATGTAAAAAGTGGTTTATATTTCCATGTATCTTACCCGGCTGGAAAAGTCCCAGCATATATGTCAAAAATTGTCTTGTTCGATATCGACCAAACGGTGAATAATATAAGTAAGAAAATGTTGAATCTGCAGTTTGATCTAAAATATTAAGACTATCGTTCAATTTTGTTAAAATAATAATAAAATTACCCGCTTTTATTTTTATTTTTAAATTTTGGCTGTATATTGTCAGTAAGCAGAAATACTCGCTATTGAAAAATGCTGTTAAACTTGGTAAAAAAAAAATAACTGAACAAAGTAGGTTCTACAATATTTTAAGCAGGCCATTCACGTTCTGACTTGTGGTACGACTAGTGGTCCAACTTCTGCAGTTGGATCTGAAATCGGACCGTGAGTGGGCTGGTTGGATTAGTTGGCTTAGTTGAAGATCCGACTTCCGACTGGCGACGAAGTCGGAGTGTGAATGGTGAAGTTGGAAGTCGGATCACAGGTTGGATTGAAAATTTCCTCAGTTAGTTGACCTTTGGCACCTGTTACGTATAAAATTTCTATGAAATACTTTACGCAAAGATCTCTAGTTCGCGAATATTTAATACAAAATAAACTTTCAATTGCACGAAAATTACCTTTTTGTTAGGGCAAATCATTTTCCTTTCTGTAGATCTATTTCGGACATTCCCATACCGGTAAATTTCCGATACTCCGGATTGGCTACGGAAGAATTATCAACAAACAATAAAAATTAAATCATAGTTGTAGCAAAAGATCCCTAGCTCGCAAAAAATAATAGAAAATAACTTTCAATTGCACGAAAAATTATTCCTATTAAAAATATATGACACACACACAACAAAATAAATCCCAGCTCCAGTATACCCTCCTGAGACCCAGAGTATTTTTTTAAATATTTTCAAAGTATTTTGGATTTTTGCCGTTTTATTTGACTTATACTTACAGCAAAAAATGACAAAAAAAATATGCCATGGAAAATATGGCTTTTCTCAATGTCATATATATATGACATTGGGTCTATCTATTAAGAAAATAAACTCGAACATAAGAAAGAAATATTACAATAAATAATCATATTTTTTAACAATCTTTTATTATTCATTATTTTTATACACAGTACAATGTATTAGACCGACAGTCTTTGGTATGAAACTTTAAAAAACAATTTCTTTTCCGTGTACTACATAAAAATATCTTACATTTTATACAAAATGCAGTTGTGGTATTTTTACAATTGATCTTTCTGCATCTTTTTTCGACTCTTCTTTTTTTATGTTTTGGCTCCAGGTCTTCGTAGTCGCTACATGTTTCAGAATCGGAGGACTGAGTGTTGTCCAAAATCATCTGCTCTCCCAAATCTAATTTGAATGATCTCAGTTGAGGAATGTTTTTGGTTGGTACATGTTTTTCCTTTAGTACTGCTCTGTATTGACACCAAGAGTTGCAAACTGCTAAATCTAGCATGTGGCTGATGAAACGAATTGTCCACTTTCTTGTACGTGCTCGTGCCGGACAGACTGTCATCATTCTGTCAACA